TATATTTATATTTATATTTATATTTATATTTATATTTATATTTATATTTATATTTATATAAAAAGACCAATAATAGCAGTGTGTTATGCATCAATAGCAGCAACAGCTTTTCCAGGTTCTGCAGTCATCTGAATCTCCTTCCCTTTTTAAAAAGACGTATCTCTCTGCTCATACTTTATTTTATTTTTCTCTTATTTATATTTGGGTTTTTCACATGAAAGAAACGATGCAATATTTCAGCTTGTGTCTGATTTATTTTACTTAACATTGTGGCCTCATGATACATTCATTTTTCTACAAATGATACAAATTTATCTTTCTTTCTGATAGAGTAGTACTCCACTGTGTATAAATACCACCTTGTATTTATCCATTTGCGTGTTGATGGACCTATAGCCTGTTTCCAATATTTAGCTATTATGAGTTGTGTTGCTATAAACATGGGTATGCATGTAGCACTGCATCATGATATCTTTGAACTTTTAGGGAAGATACCAAGAAGAGGAAAATCTGAATCAAATGGAATTTCTAATTTTAGGTTTTTGAGGAACCTCCATACTGATTTCCATAATAGTTGTACTAATTTACATTCCCACCAATAATGCAGAAGGGTTCCTTTTTCCCTGAAGTCTCACCAGCATTTATTATTTAATTTCTTGATGATGTCCATTCTTTCTAGATTAGGGTAGAATCTCAGTGTTGTTTTAATTTGAATTTCTCTAATGGCCAGAGATGTTGAACATGTTTTAATATATTTATTGACCATTTGTACTTCTTATAAGAAGTGTCTATTCATTGCAGTGGCTCATTGTTTGACTTGGTCTTTTGTTTTGCGGGGGGAGTCTAATTTTTTTTTTTTTAGTTCTTCATGTATTCTAGATATAAGTCTTCTACCCAAGAATGGCTGGCAAAATTTCCCCATTTTGTAGGGTATAGCTTTACTCTGCAGAAACTTTAATTTGATCTGATCCCATTTGTTGATTCTTGGTACTATTTCTTGCACAATTTGGATTCTGTTCAAAAAGTCCTTGCCTATGCTATGTCTTCAAGAGTTACTTCTTTTATCTTCCATTGGATTAAGTGTTTCTGTTTTAACATTTAAATCTTTGATCCCTTTTGATTTTACTTTAGTATGTGATGTTTGATATGGGTCTAGAATCAATCTTTTGTGTGTGGATAGCCAGTTTTTCCAGCACCATTTATTAAATAAGATATATTTCCACTGGTGTATGTTTTGGCCCCCTTGTTAAATTGTTAAAGGTTGGATAGCTGAATTGCCTGGAGCTGTTTCTGCATCCTCTGTTATGTTCCACTGATCCATCTCCCAACCACCCCAGTACCATGTTGTTTTTAATCACTGTAGCTTTGTAATAAAACTTACGGGTTCCTCCTGCTTTGCTCTTGTTGCCCAGGATTGTTTTTGCTGTTGTGGATCTCTTCTGGTTCCATATGAATTTTAGGATTTCTTTCTCCAGTTTGGTGAGGAACTTTTGAAAGTATGTCTTCTATGACAATTTTGATTCTTCTTATCAGGGAACAGAGTATATCTTTCTATTTTCTAATGCCCTCTTTCGTCTTCTTTTCAGAATACTGCAGTTTTCATTGTAAAGGTTTTTCACCTCATTGGTTAGATTAACTCTTAATGATTTAACTTTTGATGCCATTGTGAATGATGTTGTTTTCCTAATTTCTTTCTTGGTGAGTTTGTCATTGGTGTAGAGAAACACTATTGATCTTTGTATGTTGATTTTGTATCCTGCTATGCAACTGAATTTGGTTATTCTAGGAATTTAGGGGTAGAATTTCTTGGGTCTTGTAAGTAGAGGATCATCTCACCTCACCAGCAAATAATGATAATTTGTCTTCTTCCTTGCCTCCACAGAGCCTTTTCATGTCTTTCTCTTGCCTGATTGCTCTGGGTAATAATTTGAGAACCATGTTGAACAAGAATGGTGATAGTGGACATTCTTGTCTTGTTCCCGATTTTAGAGGAAAAGTTTTCAGCTTTTCCCCATTTAATATGATGTTAGCCATCAGTTTGTCATAAATTGATTTTATCGGATTCAGATAAGATCCTTCTGTACTTATTTTCTTTGGGGTTTTATTATAAATGCATGCTGCACATTGTTGAAAGCTTTTTCTGCATCTCTTGAATACATGTGATTTTTCTTGTTGCTCCTGTTTGTGTGGTATTTTATTACATTTATTGATTTGTGTGTGGAACCATCCCTGCATCCCTGGGATAAAGCCTACTTGGTCATGATGTATAATATTTCTGATGATTTCTTGCTTTTTGTTTGTCAGTATCTTGTTGGACAGTTTTGTGTCTGCATTCATTAAAGAGATTATCCATAGGTCTTGTTTTTTGTTGGGTCTGAGCACTGCTCTTTGAGACTGAGCCTCACCACTTGTCCAGAGATCCCCCACCCTACACAGCCTGTCGAGTTTCCCCAAGTTCCCCCTTTCACGACCCAGGTTGGCCCTTTATGTGGAGTTTAGTCAAAGGCATGGCTGGTCTTCAGGTATCATGGCAGATCTGTTGAGGAAGATGTTTCTGATTCTGACCCACAAATAATCTGGATGAAAATAATCTGGATGAAAGTTGCAGCAAATGAACCAAAGCTCTGGAAATCAAGGCCTCTTTGAAAGAAAAGGGCTTGTTTAGCCATCACAGATGCTAGCCAGAGAAGGACCAAGGCCCGAGACAGGTTCTACAGCCAGCAGCAGCAGAGCTCCATAGCTGTTGGAAAAATGTGTGCTGGACCCATGAGCTAAGAACATGTTTGTAATGGCAATTTGGATAAGGAAAGCATAAATTGTTTACACTGAACATACATTAGCTATAGCAAGAGGGACAGGGGATTACACAAAGCAGGGAAAGTTTGAAGACAGGACAGTCCATAAAAGAAGAAGTCACTCCTTCCACACTGGTCAGGGTTTGTTATCCGAAAGTTTATGCTTAAGCAGGGGCAGAGGTGCCTGGGGTCAGCCCCCATGGGTTTCAGTCAAAGTCTGAGATACATTCAGGGTTAGGAAGTGGTCTTTTATTGGTTTGGGCCAAGGCTCTTAACTGATTACCTTCTCTTCGCAGTTTCATAATTAAATTTGGGATATGTCAGCGCTTTCCTTTTTTCACAGCCTTCTGTGACTCGCCTGACCCATACAAGAATTTGCCCTTTCCCTGGGCCTCCTGGACAGTGAGGAACAAAGCTCTTGGAGCACGTTGGTACTGCCAAGTTATACTTACAAACACCTTATTTGACTCTAACAACCACTGTACCAGTCCTGGTATGATAGATTCTGCTGCAGTAACAAATCAAACCTCAGTGGCTTAATACTGTAAAAATTTCAACAAGGGGCCAAAGTGCCTGTTTTTCCTGCTGCTCTGAGACTCACGCTAACTAAATCTGCAGTCCCAGCTCCACTGGAAGGAAGCACTGTGATTTGTACACTGAGTCTAAAAGCGTTTGCCAGTACCTCCCTCCCTCCCTTCCTTCCTTCCTTCTTTTTGCCTCCCAATTTTTAAAAAAGAGAAATAACATTCCATTAGCCGCATCAAATCACAAGATCACATTTAACTTCCAAGGGTCAGAGGAAGCGAAACTCTGTCTTGTCCCCAAGGAGAAAAAGGTGAACCTATTAGAACCTCCAGAATTGTGATCTCCACTTGAGAGCTGAGAACATTTAGACTCCACAACTCTTTTCCAAAGTCAGGCAGTTAGGAAGTCAGCAGCGCAAGGTCCCAGGTGTGCATTCCCCTGACTATGAAACACATCTGCTTCCCAGAGCCGGCCTCCTCTGCTGGAAACCGTGACTTTGAAGGTGGTTCTCATTAGCATCAAGGCACTTCAGATGATGCTCAGGAAAGAGTTTGCCCTTCCAATTAAATTTAATCTTGTGAGGGCCGGGGATTTAGCTCAGTGGTTCTGCCACCTGCCTTGTCAAGCGCAAGGACCCAAGTTTGATCCCCGGTACAAAAAGATAATAAGAATAATCTTGTGAAAATTGCTTCTTTTCTCTCTCCTTTTGCAAAACCTGTATTTAGGAAAGAAAAAGTAAGGAGGAAGGAGAAAAGAAGAAAAGAAAAAGAAAGGAAAATAGAAGGAAGGAAGAAAGAAAAGAAAAAGGGAAAGAAAGGATGGAAGGAAGAAAAGGAAAGGTCAAGTCAAGACCAGCCTTGGGGCACCCTTTGACCCGAACAATATCTGAGCGCATGTCAGGGCGATGTGGGTTTTTTCCACTGTGAGGTATTTTCCACTCACAGGACCAGGTCAGAAGTCTGTATCTTACTCTGCATGCTTGTTCTTGCTCATGTTTGTTTTCTGCTTGATCTTTATTCACCCTTCCACATGTTCCCGTGACAACGGAAGAACGGTAACACAGCCAGGCAGATCAAAGGGATGGAGGGCCCAGTGCCTTGCATTAGCACTGAGAGTGCTGAGTGGGGAGGTAGAGGCCACAAGGGGGTCTCCACCCCACTTCTGCACTGAGAGGACTGGCAGTGAGTGAGAGTTGGGTCTGCTCTGTGGAGAAGGACAAGTGGGTTCAGTGAGGTTCAGTGATTGGCCAAGGTCGCATGGCTGGAACTCATTTAAACCAAGTGCTGGGCTGGGGATTTAGCTCAGTGGTTCCGCCACCCACCTCATAAATGCAAGGTCCCAAGTTTGATCCCTGGTACTAAACAAATACCAAATAAACAAAAACAAAAACAACTGCTGTTATTTTTTCCCTGAATTACTTTGCTTTCTGTCCACTCTGTTCTGCCACTTTCCGCTTGCCCTCCTGCTCCTGGGAAGCCTGCCCAGTGCACACCAGATGATGCAAAGGGCTGTTCGTCCTCTGTGATGACATCCACCTGCCTGTGGCTTCTCCCACAGACAGGAAGAGGTGGGCTCATTACCATGGCAACAAGCAGTGAGGTGGCGACACTAGGCTCAGGCTGCCAACCCCGAAGGTGGGAGCTTTCCCGGTACTTTAGAACTCAGCACTTCAGGCTTCTGAGCTTCCTGAACAAACCCACAATATTCAGAGGAAAAACTCTGGAAAGAGGCAGGATTATAGAAAGACATGAATAGTTGGAGAAAGCTAAGTCCATACTACAGGATGCGAGGCTCAGGATAAGCCAGTGAGGGAGACGTAGCAGTGCTTTTAACCCCAGAGAAAAAATAAATAACTTGATTAGATGCTGGTCGCCATAGACACCTGTAATTCCATCACTCTGGGAGGCTGAGGCAGGAGGATCTCAAATTTGAGCCTTGCCTAGGTAACTTAGTGACTCAGTAAGATCATGTTGCAAAATAAAAAATTTAAAAAGTGTGTGTGTGTGTGTGTGTGTGTGTGTGTGTGTGAGAAAGAGAGAGAGAGAGAGAGAGAGACTCAGTGCAAAGGCCCTGGGTTCAATCCCTCTTACCACTAAAAACAGCTTCAAGCAGGGCCTAAAATGCTCAGCTCTAACGTGGTATTTGAAATTCAAGGTTCTTTTGGTAGTTTTGATATCTATTTTTGACAGTGTGAACCTCTACCCCGCCCCATGAACTTAGGAGGGGCAGGACAGTGGGGTGGGGGGCTCATAAAAATAGCTCAGAGCATGCTAAATAAACTGGCTTCTGGTGTCCACCTCTTCATAGTGTGAATATACGTGGCTCATGCTTATCTCAGCCTCCATTTTCCTTCTCTCTCTCTCTCTCTCTCTCTCTCTCTCTCTCTGTCTTAATCTTTTTTCTTTGAGACAAGGTCTTGCTATGTAGCTCAGGCTGGCCTGAAACTTGCAGCCAATCCTCCTGCCTCATCCTCCTGAGTGCCAAGACTGCGGATGTGCGCCACCCTGCCTGGCTTCCTCTTATCTCAGTAAGAGAAAATGCTCACTTCACCTCTAGAACCCTATGATCCTAAATAGGGAAAGATGGACTTAGGACGAAGCTGGCCATGGACAATAGCCCAGTAGTTTTTGCACTGGAACCTAACTTGAGGGATACAGAGCCACTTCAGGTCACCCCACACCCAGGTGCTGTCTGGGCCCCCCAGATCAGAGCACACAACAGTTGGGCCAGCCAGACAGCGCTGTGGGGTGTTTCCTTGAGAAGCTGCAATGTGCTACCCTCATTGCATGATAACTCTGTACATTACAGGGAATGAAAGAAGCTATTGCAAATGCAGCTTGAAATTTTTTGAAAGGGAAGCCACATACTTCTCTGTGTATGTCATCTTTTCCCAGATGGACCCAAAATGAGCCATGTAATTTCTGTGTTGTGGCGTTTCTGGGAGAGATTCACAGATCTGAGAGCTGGAAGGGGCTTCAGAAGATGCTGTGAGTCCAACAGGTGTAACTATGTCCCCATTTTATAGATGAGGTGACCACTTCTGGGGCTGCTGCTCTACAGTGGCATAGCCAGAGAGTGTCGCTGGCACAGTGTTTGGGGGACCCTCCACCTCCTTCTCTTATACCATCATCGCCAGGAGAGCTGTTTATGGAAAACATGGAAGCAGAGAAAGGACGAGGAGACCCATGAGGAGCTAGGTGGCCGTCTGGTGAGCCTTCTCCGCCAGCACATAGTAGGTGCTTTATGCAATAATGGTGGCACTGGTCTGGGGCCCTTGGAACCTTTTGCCTGGTCCTCGTGTCCCAAACAAAAAATTGAACTAGATATGCAGAGAGTGTGTTAACAAAGGTGCACATTTATTGAAGGTAGAAAAGAGGTTCACTCTGCAGGGCAAGATTGGACTGGTGGAAAGGTTCACAGTGCTCTGAGGGCAAAGGAAAGGGGAGTCTTTCACATTCACAATTCCCAACTTGTCCTTGGCCTCAAGCAAACAAGGCATTGGGAAGGTGACCCTATCCAAACCTCACTTGGCCTCAGGCCAGGTAGAAACTGTCCTGTGGAAAAACTCATTTGGCTCCCAGCCAGATGTAAATGAAGGATCAGAACCACGTCTTTTGATTGGTTGTGTTCACATAAATGAAGGATCGAAAGGGGCATCTTCTGATTGGCTCTGGGACCATCACCACATTCAAATAAGGGATTGAAAATAGCACTTTTCTGATTGGTCCACAGTGACCAGCTGTAAGCCTGACATCATTTTGAGTGGCAAGGTCTGCACATCTCCTCTGTTTTTAGGAAACACCACTCGACCTCCTAGCCATGGGTTTTTATGACATTTGACACATTCCACCCAGCTGGTTCTCTGTTTTGCCCTAGCCCTAATCTCCCACCTCGCAGAGAGGCAAGATGGAGGTCAGGGCAGCAAGGTAGAGCGATGAACTTGCAGCTTTCAGGGTTTATACACAAACTCCAGCTGCCGAGTGATCATCGGATAGGCCACATCTCTGGGCCCTTAGGAAAATGAATTCTTTCAACAAGCAGTTTGCTGAAGAGGGAAATTGCTAAGAGGCCGAGGTGACAGCCGTTTCAGGACACTCTAAGCAGATTAGCTTCCAACACAGACGCCACTTCCCGGCAGAGACCCCTGACCCTGCAGCCGTCTTGAGGACATGGTATCCACAGGAGGTACCAGGCTGCGGCAGCGTGTGCAGGGCTGCAGGACCAGACCTTATCAGGAGAGTCTCCCCGGAAGTGGGGCAAGGCAAGCACAGGGCATTCCTTTAGAATGGTGGATTTGTTTTATTTTCTATTAATTTTTGTTATTACAAGAGAATTGTGGAATGATGTTTTTGCGTGACTTTTTTTTTTTTAAATCACGACAGGGACTTGTTTCTCTCTCTATGGGAAAATTCGGAAATGATTGTGTCAGCCTCAGCTTAAACCCCCTTGGAAACTTCCTCCTGCTCACTGGAAAGCAACATACAACTCACGGCAGTGGCAGCAAGACTGCTGACGTGGAATGGCTCTGCGCACCACAGCCATCTCGACTGTTTGATACTGAGATGCTCTGGTGTCTGTCGGTTAACAGTCACCACCCAACTCAGGACTGAGAGCAGTGGGGGCTCCAGGGCCTCGCTCCAGCCTGTGCCTTGTGTCTACCCTGGCGGGACAGCCCAGTGCCTCTACAGTTGTCACGTGGTTGTTAACTACCCCGAGAAGTCCTAGCCCGAGCCACCTGGCCACCCCTGTCTGGCTTCCTCTTTCTCTCTCTGCCTCTGAACACTCAGCTTTCCGCCCCCCAGAGCCTCTGCAAGCTGCTTCCTTCTGTCCAGAGTAGGCCGTGTCACACTGTCCCCCTTTTCCTTTGGCTAACGTTTCTCAGCTGACATCAGAACAGAGATCGGATGCCCGGACGAATGACTCATTGGTCCCACACACCTCCAAATGGATGTATTCCCCAGGTAGCCCTGGTCCTCGCCTGAGAGCCCCGGCCATCCTGTCACCTTCCTTGCTGCTCAGTGCTGCTACCAAACAAACGATTCTCTTGGCTGTGAGCACACAGAGGAGAGGAGGAATCATGTGAATATTTGGAATTCCAAAAGTTGTGTTGTACCAGGTAGCATGAACTTTCCTATCTCTCCTGACTGGATGTGGAGTGAAAAGGGGGATGAGGACGAGAGGGAAGCGAGAAAGGGAAGGAGAACATCAACTGAGATGTGCCGGAGCGTCCGGCCGCCTCGTGGGGGATCCGCGGCATTCGCTCTAGAAATCGTTTTGCTTATGTCCTCAGAGCTTGTGGCTGCAGATTATTTTATTCTCTGGCCCAGTCATTGGTTACAGGTCAAGTAGGAGCCAGCCCTAGGCAGGGGCATGGACTCATTCATAGATCGCTGTCCCCGATCCCTGGAGAAAAAAGAAAAAGAATTGGGTTAAAGAGGCAAGCGGGGGACGGAACTAACCCAAGACACTTAAAAACAGTTTGAAAATGGTAACAAGTTTACCAGCTCTCAAGGAATTTTGGATTTTGTTTACCATATTTCCCTTGTTTATTCATTTACAGAGCACCCAATTACCTTGACTTTACAGCATATATAAGTTACAACCAAGAAGCAAAAGGAACGATTTTACAGGCATTGTGATGAATCCCGGTGCCTCAACTGGAGCCTGAAATTAGAGGGTTTCGTCTGCTTTCCTTCCACCTCCAAAGGCTTGTAAAGTGGGGGATAATGTGGGGGCTTCCTTCCCTGCTGAGGCAC